TCTCAGTTCTGACCTGGGACTCCACTTTCCCCAAAAATCCTTGGCACACCCCTTTTCGCACTTCCAGGCCCACATCCTACTCCGATCAGGAAGTCACGCTGGGCGAGAGGTTTGGGCGTCCCAGCCCTGGTGGAAGTGGAATCGGACGAACCTTGTCGAACGGGAACTTCGGACGCCAGGCCCAGAGAATCTACTACAGGCCCCAAGAGACTATGGGCCCTAGGTTTCAGACAGGGTAGCACCCATTGAAGCAGTCTTACCGTCCTTCCCCTAGCTTACCCAAGGCCAGGCGGAACTCGGACTGGTGTGAGGGACTTATACCCCTACCCTTACCCCAGGGTCTAAGCCTTATATATAGCCACTAGACAGTTCTACCCGAATATCAGTAGGAACTCCGGTGGCCCATACCTGTCCCTACTGCAGATACTAGACCCCACCCAGTGACTAGACCCCCCCTGTCTGATAGTTGTGTAGTTCGCAATGTGTATACCCGAAGGCTGTGTATGCTTCGTGTATCTATGTATGAAGATGTACAGACAACACTATGTGTAGAAACTTGTGTACGTAGCCCGTAGGCCATGTATAGTTCGCAAGCTATGTATATGCCCCGAGGCTGTGTGCGCTCTGTGAATCAATGTATCCAGATGTATAGGCAGCATCATGTGTGCATATCGAAGAGAGAACGGGGTAAGCTGGACAAGGACCCCCCCCAAGGCCCGAACCAAGCTCGAACCCGTGACCTTGAAACATGTAATCGTATGACTCTACCATGCGAATGACTAGTGGATATGGCACGAACGTGTGATATGCCAGACTCAGTCTGGGGAGATCAACAGAACACCATGTGAATGACTAGTGGAAATGGCACGAACGTGTGATATGCCAGACTCAGTCTGGGGAGATCAACAGAACACCCAAGCCCAACACCCCCAAGCAACCCATGTGAAACGCCAGAACCAACATACAACACCATGAACAACCCTTGGGTGGTGCGCAGGCAGTGTCTGTAATAGTACCATGCGTCAGCCCAAGGGAGTGTATGTCCAGCCGTGTGTCAATCTAACGCCCTG